TGAGAAAGATTATAAAAAATTCTTGGTAAAGATGTTGTTTGCCTCCTGCTAAACCCTGCCGCTGGGCTTCATGCCGTTACAGTGCTACCAGACCAGCTTTGCATTTTTTCCCCAGTGCTTTCCACCCTGTGTCGGATGTGCCAGGCAGCACGGGAGGCTCTGCCGTTCGCCCCAGGGCGATGAAAACCTTCGCTGCTCGGGCACAGGGACCCGGGGTGGATGGGGGCTGGGTGCCTATTTCCAGTATCTCGTTATTTGGGTGTCCTCTGACTTCTAGAGAAGCTGCTGAGAGATTTTTTCCCATTAAAAGTCAGGCGGGCATGCATATGGTCTTTGTGTACTACAGTGACTAATATATTTCTGGCAAGGTCCGCGCTCGCCCGTAGGAAAGGAAACTGTGATCGATGCCCCCGTTGCTGCAGATGACACCGCTCTTGGCACCGGCGCTTCCACCGCTGAGAGTGACCATGGAAAGCAAAATAGCCACTGGACTCTGTCCAGCGAGAGCCGATAACTGCCCCGCAGTTAACTTTTAACCGTGGACCTTCGGTGGCAGCAGGGGGAGGATCCTCTGCGAGTAAAATCGGCCTTGGTTTAGGTGGTTTGTGCTCAATTTTGTTACGAACAGCTTTTTTTGCAGTGCGTGAGCTGATCCCCACGGAAGGATGGATGGAGGTGTCACTGGCAGAGCTGCCACCAAGTCTTACTCCCTTGGGAGGGTCCGAGCTGGACACTGTGTCTGGCCTTGCCCGGAGAGAAGCGCGTTGCAGGGGAAGGCGAGCAGCGGGCACTGTCCCATCGCCCGCCCTGCGCCTGGGTCGAGAAACAGCTCCGGGGAGGGAAGGGCAGGCTGATACGTCCGTACGCTCCGATTTAAATCTGTGCAGCCAGTGCTGGCTGCAAGGCGTCGTCCTCTGCGCCCCCCAAAATCAGTCGGCGTGTTCCCATCGGAGGTGGCCGCGTCCCGGCAGGGACCACACGCTCGCAGCAGCGCTGGGGCGGCAGGAAGGAGGGCTGTGAAAAATCACTTCACCCTCGCGGGGGCTGATTTCGCTCCCGTTTGTTTCCGCTGAAGCCACGTGGACGCTGAGCGAGAGGGAGAGCCGCTGCCAGGGTTTCACAGAGCTCTTTTCATTTTAATATCCCTCTCCTTGCTGAATTAGATGCGAGACTGATTGCTTCGATAATCCTGCCGCAGCCGCTATGGGTTATAGATGGATTGCAGCCAAAAGCCGTGCCGATAAATCATTCCTATACACCAGGCTGTTATATTTCCTGAGGATTTTGTGGGCATGTGCTGCTCGCTTTTACGTAAGGATCTGCTGGAGTTCATAGCAGAATGTACCGCTTTTCTCCGGGCAAGGATCTGGGTGGGCTGGTGAAGCCAGATTCCCTGGGCTGTATTTCCCCTTTTTGGGTTTATTCCCCCCATCTCAGCTATTTTCGGTTTCCCTCTGGCTGGGAATGCGGCTGTTCTCCTCCTCCTCAGCCTCCCCGCGTGCTTACGAAGGAGAACTGGCTGCGTTATTGTTAGTCCCATGTGCTGCGGGGCTGTGCTCAACAGTGGGACCCCACTTGTGGGTTTCTCTGGGGCAAGGCATCACCTCACAGGGCAATTTTTGCAAAGCCTCGTGCTTGGCCTCTTTGCACACACGCAAAGGGAAAAACCCCTCCGATTTTCCACCCTAGCTGATGTTACGACGGTGCCTGGATAACTTTTAGCCTGTTTATAGAGCCTGGGGAAGCCTGCTTGAATTAATCAGCCTTGATATGTTTATCCTGGTCAAGCCAATTAACTCCCGCCGGCCAGGGCACACTTGGCTCTCAAGTGTGGCGGAGAGACTTCACAACTCAATTTTGCTCCAGCCCGGCAAAGTTTAGCACAAACTCTTGGAAATTCAGATGCAGGCGATGCTCGGGGAGCAGGACGGGATGCCCGGCCATGCCGTGCCATCGCTGGGGACCGGTGCCGCAGCTGGTGATGCTCCTGGGGTGGCTTCATCCCAGAGCCGCCCCGCTGAGCTGCCTTTTTTGGTGCGGCCACGGTGCATGGTGAGGGTAGAGGGCACGGCGTTTGGGATCGGCTCCGGCTTCAGGAGAAAGCTATTTATAGGCGGGGGGGGGGAATTTTCCCAGCCACAATGGCCAGGACTTGGAGCCCCAGCTTGGCTTGGCTGGCAGCTCCCGGCTCTCTTGCCCAGCAAAGCCCCCGCCAGGAGCGGATTCAGCCCCACGAAACGCAGCGTTTCTGAAATAGTTCGTCCTTGTTGCTGTTCGTTGGCTTATTTATAGCCTTCGCGTCCCCTGCGTTTCTCTGCGCCTCGAAGCAGCAAGCGGCACCGGGTCGGCTTTAGCTCCAGGCCGATCCCGCTCGGGCAATAAAAGCTCCAGTTTACAGACTGGTGTTGGAAACAGCAATTAGGCCGTTGCGAAGCCTCGAGGAAGGGGGAGACGGATTTGATTTCTGTACTTGACCCGTAATTTCTGCCGGGCTGATTCAGAGCGGTTGCGCTGCGGGTGCATCACGGAAACTTCAATGGAGATGAGCGGAGCTAATTTTAACCGGCCGCCTCGCCGAGGTGTGGGAACCAGGCAGAAAAACGCCTCAAACCTTGTTCCTGCTTCTGGGCTGTTTGTTTTGGGGCATTTTTTTTTCACTTGCTTCTGCGGCGGCTCATTAACCTTAGAAATTCCGGCAGCGTGGCAGGGAGGAGCGGTGGGTCACAACCAGCCAACCAACCATCGAACTGCCCCGGCTGCTGTGGGGCAGGCGGCATGTGTGAATTAACACCTCTTCCTCCCCCTATTTAATTATCATTTAATTTTTTTTTTTTTTTTAAATTCTTTGCTGCTAACAATTGTTTTCTCATTTATCCCAAGGCTCAGGAAGCTGATTTTTGCACAGAAGGCTGCAGGGAACCCAGGGCGAGAAGTCGCTGGCAATGAAGGGCAGTGGGAGGAGGCAGTGAGCTGGGGCCTGATCCTGCACCCCGCGCTTGGTAAGCAGCTCCCTGTGCCCCTGGGCTGCTCTTTTTGGGGTGTGCTTGGCAGAGGTGTGCCCGCTCCGACTGCAAGACAGAGCAGTACAGCAGGGAATGGAGCGATATTCGTGCTGGTGTAGTGCAGGGCCGGATCCTGCCCCTGTAAAATACCCCTCTTGGGGTATTTCTGTAGCAGAGATGATGGCGTGGTTGTTCCCTGGAGGTGTTTAAATAAAGGGGGTGGAAGGAGCAGCGGCAGCGGCTGCG